AAGCGTTGAAGCTACTACCACTTCAACGACAACGAGAAGAACTGCAGTCTGGCGACCGGAATGTCCACCCGGTTGGAATCCGTATACAAATTATAGAACTGGTTCGACCCGATATTGCCAGAACGTTGCTGATATGAGGTAAGATTGATTTCCTCGTAAAGAAAAACGGCAGTTTGGAGGAAAACGTGAAATTCTCGAATGAACTAATATTTTCATTAGACACGTAAGAAGAGAGAGAAAAAAAAAGAAAGAATAATTTTAATTCTTTATATAAAGCGTAAAAAGTTTTCAGGCTATAAAAAATCTACACCATTTATCCAAGTTAGCATCTAACTAGCCAATTAAGCGTCCCTTATCGAAATTTTTGTATTAGTGATACCGATATAAAAATGCAAGCCCGCCCAAGCTATCAGTTTGGGTATCCCGTGTCAGTGATGTTACTGAGATGCTCACACATACACACACACACGCACGTACACATACGCACACATATATCGGGCGCAGCTGTACCACGTTCAGTTTCTTGTAATGAAATTTGGAAATTTAAAGAACAAAATCAAACTGCAGCTGCCCGACCGGCTTTTCATGTGCTCAGTCAACGCGCAGAGGTATTTATATGTGCTGCCGTTTTGGAAGTAGCTTAAAATGCGCTAATGGTTTGGATACTTTGCTTATAAACAATAAGCCGCGACTATGCAGTAGGAATCGTGGTACCAGTATATGCCCTATTGGTTACTCGTGCCAACTTTCCAATTTGGTAAGCCAACAGTTTTTTGTAATACTTACTTCGACCAAACTCTGTTAAGTGAACATAAAGATGCGAATTTCTGGAGCAATTAATCACAAAATAATAGAACTTGGAAAAAGGCGTTATTGCTGCCAATAGCAAATACAGTTTTTAACAAATTTGACACTTTACTGGCCAAAATTTTTCTTTATTTTTTTGAGTGAATACTAAAATAATAAACTAGACACACACGTCCCAGACTGGTTATTCTGTTTTTTTCCTTTTATCAGTCGTCCATTTGCCTCAGTAGCAAATTGGTATTGACATTTGCTAGAAAGTCAAACCCGTCATCAGCTTGCTTCTAAGCAATCGAAGACAGAGGAAGCGATCGATAACCTTGCCAGCAAATGTTTTCATGTGGCGTTTGTTACCATTCGAGCTGTATCCAAGTACCTCTCTCTCTCTTTAGGAATATATACGAAGAAGGTTTTGAGTTTTGACCTTAACTATTTTAGCTCGCATTATTGGGCGGGCTTGGCCTGTTGCCAACATAATAATTTACAGGTGAAAATATATAATAAAATAAACAATAACATCAATCATATCGTATCATTCGACACATTTTTATGTTGGTTTTACGCATCGAGCACAAGAAAGGTCGCCAGGAAAAGAAATTTTTCGCAAACTTCATAAATTCCGAGATCCTTGAGAGCATAATCGGCGCACGAATGACCACCGGTCGAGCACTTTTTCATGCTCTCCAACAACTTGTATGCGGAAAAACATGAGTTACTCACCAAACTAATTTTGGGTAGATTTTGAATTTTATTGTGCGCCACTGTAGGCCAACGTTCGTGTTTGTTGCTCCGATATGCGAGCTATGGATCAACGATCAGTCGGTGCCCATTTTGTCAATGATGTCCGGTGCCAGCAGGATTTATCAATACCAGCTATTGTGCATGATCATTACATTCGATTTTGTCCAACTTTGGACAGCTCTGATGGATGTCCAAGTGGTTATGTTTGCTCTAAATCAACCCGTAATAACCTGAATGTTTGCTGCAAATCGATATCCGGGTACCAAAGCTTCGAATATTTTTTTTTTCTTATTGCCAAGAAAATCAGGATCACCTGAGGTACTAGTGTGGGTATACCGTGCTAATGATATTACTTGAGTGCTCCCAGATGTCGGATATTGCCATGCTAAGCGCTTCGATCCTGGGATGCTTGCCTTCAGTTAGTGCCTACTGCAACGATTCGATGTATGCGCGCCACTCTTTCAGAGGCCACCTGAGTGGTCATTAATAATTTTTATTATGTTAGGATTTATTTACACCTTGCAACATCCAATAACATCGTGGTTAAGTAGCCTTTGTCAAACTTCGTCATGTCAAGCGCTGGTATATAAGACTGTTTGTCCCTGGATTTTCAAAGGTATCATACGAAGTTTGTCGGAGAAGATATTCGAGCCCATCTGATGATACAAAACACTAGAACCACTCCGATGCTGCATTCACTTTGGTTGAAAGCCATAGCTTCACTCACAGTGTTAACTGCTATTGGCAGTCTCGCTAGCCAGTGGTTACTCCATCTACGGGTTACTTAAAAACCAGCTTATGGGAGGTTTGTTTCCCTGACATCTGCCTTTATCAATTTATCGTCAAAACGAATAACCGAATCGTAGAAGGACATGGCTGTCTCATTGATGCAGTCTGACTCTGGCCTGCACAAAAGACGTTCTAATCCCCATTGCGTTATGCCTCCCAGATTAATTATTTGCATGAACGTAAGCTGCTTGCACAAACGGAGTCACTTCTGTCACGGTCCGATCTCTGTGTGATACCTAGAAGATTAAGAGAGAAGCCTACCTGGTTAGTCTTCCTCCATCCGCTAAAAAAAAGCATCTGAGCAGACATCCTCTTCAGCTGTTGATACTGAAGTCTCTTAAAATAGTTTTTTCACAATGATTTTTATTTTTTTCTTGTACTTTCAGGTCGCTAATAATTAAAGTTGAACCGGACGAAGCGGTATGTGGAGAAGGAGGATTTGCTTATCAGTTAGATGAACATCCGCTGGACTGCTCACATGATGCCAGCGTTTGCCCTGAGGTATTTTTTTACTTCCCATTTCATAGATAATAATATTCTGGCAAATTGATTTTTGAACTGAACATTTGTTTCATTTGAAAAAACACTAGTTTAGAAACTAAATATTCAAAATTTTTATTTTTTTTTTGAAGATTCAAAATCCAACTTTTCAAAATCTTTTTTTCTTTTTGTAAGTGATTACGGAATGGGAGGAAATCGAACCATCCATTTTGATACTCTCAGGATCCTACGAATCGTGATGGTTTATCTACTATTCCCTCGTCCCAAAAGTTGCCAGCCTTGGGCGGTGGTGGGATAAGTACCACAGGCATGAAATTTGCCAATTTTCACGTCCTAATTTTACATTTAGCATTACATCTGTCAACCGTCATTCACAAATACAAAGATGTACTGCTGCCACGAAGAACTACGCTGTCCAAATGGCGTTATCCCCGGTTCCACAAAACAGTGTGAAATGTCCACAGATTGTCATTCGAAAGAAGAATGTGTTGAAGCCGAGAATATGGAAGGTGATTTTGTTATTTGTCCGTCGGCTACAAGTGTTCAGATTCAAAATTATAGAATAATCGAATTTTGTCTTAAATTTTCAGTTTTCGAATTTTTCTGGTTACTAAGTTAGCAGTTTTCCCGCCAAATATTTCACGTACCCATACGTGACATCCGCAAACCCTTAGGAGCTGAGTTTGAGAGTTTTAGCTCACACAAGCACAGAGAATATCCTCTGTGATCAGTTTAGAGTCAAACTCCTCTCCGTATCTACTCTCGTTGAGAAGCTGAGGTAATTCTTAAGTAGCCAGAGTATTACTGTAAGTACCAACAGCGAGATGGCTCATTCTTTTGAGCGTTGCTTAAAAACAAGCTGATAACGGGCTTTAATGCTTGGTATATGCCAGCATCAATTTATTTTGGTCAGATCAATGCAGGATTTAAAATTTCACTTGGTACTTCTACCATTATGATGGATCGCTTCGAGATTTCTTTCGTGAAACATAAAATTCAAATTTAAGGGCACCGAATTTGTTGTCCTGCCGCTATCCAGGAAGAAGCGCGTTGTCTTGGTCGGGAATCACATTTAAAAGATGGGAATCCGATTGCTTGCTACGGTGCAGTCAGTTGTCCGGACAACTATGAATGCTCTAATTTTACGACAACAAATGAATATGCATGTTGTAAAAAAGGAAGCGAGCACGAACAAATATGTCCTGATAATAGGTATGTCTGTTTTCTATCAATACGACATGTGGTGATGCACATGCGTACAGCAGGTAACAGGTACTGACTGGAAGTATGCAGCATAGGATCGAAGGGCCTGGAATAGCTGTGAACAACATGTGGGAGCATTCTAGTAATATCATTAACATTAAATTATCACACACTGTTTGTACAATCAGTCTTGATATTCCTGGTATGATAATGCCAATTTGCAAATTCAGGATATAGCTCTGTTTCATTTTTGCACTAGGAAGTACCAAAGTGGTCTGCACTAAAAAACCCAGGCTGGAACGCACCAGGCGAGCCGGAGCGATCATGCGTTTTTGCACAAAACTTGA